ATAAGTCTGATGATAAATATGCAACACTGTATTTCAGTGGTTCATGCAGCAAATGGAAAGGTATATATACTTATGGCCATTATGTTAAGAGAATGGCAGGTAAGGTCTGACATAAAGGCATGACAAAGGTTTAAGAACCTAAAACTAAAATTTGTCTCATCATGTTAGAGACATTAACAAGTCTCTGGAAATATATCAGCCTCACATCATCTTGATGTTTATTCTGACATTCAAGAAAATAACTACCAACAACCAATTTTTGTTTTTAATCACCATCTTGGTGGCTAAAAGAAAATGTTTTCAGCCAGCTTGTAGACAAAGACTATGCAAAAAGTTTCACACCTCACGGAAGATATGACTACGTTGTACTTTAGTTCTAATCAGCCAATTTGCCCTAGTGTGGCTAAACTAGTATGGTTCCACTTTATATCCAGCATCTGTTCTGATTATTGGTGCCTTCATTCTAGTCGTTGAACATTTTAAATGTCATCCCTCATCTAATATCACACATGAATAGACGTGGCCTGATCAATACTTCTAGGTGTGGTTAAGACCAAGTTTGTGAAAACATATGGTGAACCTAGAACTGAGCATGCCTGTGACACTTGAACATGTTCATGACAGTGTTATCAAGTTACTGGTTGATTCTGGCAACTCTAATCAAATGTGTGTGATTCTGAAAGAAGTAGTCTCAAATACTGAAGGAAGTATTTTTTCTCAGGTATTACTCAGAATAAAAGAACTGCAGAGACAAGTCTCTGCAGACTCTCTAGCCAAGTCTCCTGTCTGTTGCAGAAATCTCCTCCACAGTGTGTTTATCCAGTAAATCTTTGCTTGAACACTTACAGTAATAAGAATTTCTCTTTTTCTTGGAATATCTCAATCCACTATTTTCAATGAACATAGAAAGGATCCTCCTACTGAAATGACAGATCAGTATATGGCTCCTCCTCTTTCTATTCCTTAAAAACGCAATTTTCAAAATCAGCTCTCACTTTTTTCTACACTTCCTCTTTCACAGAGCTTTCCTTCACTCTTGAGATTCAAAAGTTATCTTACAGTTGACCTTGAGCATGATCTCTCCTCATTTTTCGTCTGGTATTCCTAGCCACCGCTGTGCGTGTGCGTGCGCAGTCACTAAGTTGTGTCCGACTCTTTGAGACCCTATGGACTGCAGTCCACCAGGCTCCTCTGTCCACGGGATCTCCCAGGCAAGAATACTGGAATGAGTTGCCATTTCTTTCTCCAGGGAATCTTTCCGACTCAGGGATCAAACCCACATCTCTTGCATTGCTGGCAGATTCTTTACCACTGAGCCACCTGGGAAGTCCAACTTAACCTCTAAGATATGTGATTTTTACATTTAAAAAAGACCTAACACTCAATAAACTTCGATTTCTTTATAATCCCTTCCCATGCTATCTCTGCTGTGTATTTTCTCTCTTTTTTAAAAACTCAGTATTATTATTGTTTTCATATAACTTGTGTTTTAATTTAGTCCCTTTGTATTTTTATTGTTCTCATTTTCCTTGCATCTCAAATAATTATAGATATTTTAGAACTTCCTTTAGAGAAGGACTTTTAGAAATGGTCCAGTAACAGCAATTCTCTTTGTTGTCTAGAAACACCTTAATTTTGCCTTCTTTCTTGAAAAATATTTTTGCTGGATATGATAGTTATTTTCTCTCAGAATATCTTAGGTATCCTTCTACTGTCCCTGGCTTCCTCTGCTGCTTTGAAAAGTCAGCTGTTGAACTCCTTTGAAGACAATGTCTTTTTTTTTTTCTAGCTGTTTTTAAGATCTTTGGCTATGAACTATGTCTGCAATGTATGGATTAAAAAAAAAAAATCCTGCCAGATCCTTCTTGGGCCTGTGTTTTTTCTCTTTCCTTTACTATTCCAATTGGAACACTCATATCCTCTGTCCCTTAAATCTCTTTTAGCCTATCCCACTGTGCTGCTTTTTCATATAGCTTCTTTAGTCCTATCTTCCAATTCATTAATTGTTTTTTATACTTCCCTGAACATCATCTCCTATACTCAGTTCATCATAACAAATCCTGAATGATGGACTCTTACCTTCAAACCTCTGATTTATTCCCAAATATTCGACTCTATTGCTATCATCCTAGTTGTGGGCCATATTTGTTTTTAGCTAAGTTAGAGAAATTTGGGGGATCTAAAACTTAGCTTGCACATATCTAAGACTTAAAGCTTTCTAAAATATTGGACTTACTTGTTATGTTGATCTCTTATCACAGAATCTTTATCATCTCCTTCTACTTAATAATGACTGAGCCCCCAAAATATAGTTTTTCCAGGATTTGGTACCACTTTACCTATCCAAGCAGATTCTCAGCCCTAAATAGGCCTACTTTCTTTTTACCCCCCTGTACAAGCCATGTGCCCATTTGCTAACATGCTTTTGATACAGTCTCCTAACCCAAATTATATAAATCCTTCCAGGCCTCTCTTCTGCAGTTTCTCCTGATGACTCCCAGCATGCTCTGTCTGCTTTCCCATTTCCTTGAGCCCTTGTGTGTTCAGTACATATTTTAATTATCTTGACTCAATGAGATATAATTCTTTAGTATTTGAAGTTGAGCTATATATAGCTTAACCGTAATTCTAACCTAGGTCTGATCCAATTTTTATATAATTTTACTTATTTTTGGCCAAGCCACGTGGCTATGTGGGATCTTAGTTCCCCAACCAGGGATGAAACCCATGCTCCCTGCAGGGGAAGCAATGGAGTCCTAATCACTGGATGCCCAGGGAATTTCCCAAAGTTTGCCTTCTTTCTAACACAATACAATTGCCTTTCATGATTCAATAAATATTTGTTGACTTGTGTAAAAAAGAAACCAGATGTTGCAAAATTACATATGAAAATGCTTTACATTTAACTAGCTTATCTTAGCTTAGCTGGAACAAAGTAATCTTAAATGGCATTAAAATTTTTAAACTTTATCATTTAATAAATTTCCCAGGAAATCTCCTCAAAGAGGATTCTGCAGCAGTTTATCAGTAAAGATAAACATTAGCTCTTTCGAAAATGACCATTCATTCTCTGACTCTCTAGTCAAATCACACAACCCCATCCTTTACAGTAAATGTTAACCCCTAAAATTGTAAACCTGAAGTAACAGCTTACATATTTGGAAGTTCACTTCCAGGGGCCACTCCAGTGTTAAGGAAAAGGTACTAAAAACCTAGTTTTAGGTTTTATAAACTATTCTCATGTTAATAAACAACTGATCCAGTTAAAATAGGTTGCACTACACCAAAGTTACCCACTTCACTTTATAACAAATAGCCACTAGGTTTACACTAGAGTTTAACAATCTAATGAGAGTGACTGTTATTTGGGGTTATAATATGAAACCTTCTTTCCATGTTTAAGTGTTCTTGCCTCTCTTTTTATTTCTAAATAACATATAAAATATCAAATTGAATCTCAAATTATCTTAATAATCCATACAGTTTTTTACATATGTAAACATAACAAATATTATATATATGTAACATATATATACATTACATATATATATATTACATATATATTTTATTTTTATATATATGTGAAAGAACCATCTTGACATGTAAATTTTTGGAAGATATTAACATTTGCTTAACTCTAGGCCAAATAAGGGAGGAGAGACTGAAGAAGAGAAACTACTCTTAGTATTTCTCTCATAGGACAGTGATTATCTCTCTTTCTTACCTTTCCTGTCCCGTCCTTCATCAACACATACTGGCAGACTTCCTAGGTCAATGCAGAAATCCAGACAAGAGAAGGAAGCACACTAAAATAGTGGAGGACAGGCTACAGGAGATGGACAGTGTCAGTGTCATGTACATCATGTGGGAGAAAAGAAGGAATCGTCACAGTTAGTCACTTTGTTCAAGAGAAACTAAAACAGTTACTTCAATGATAGAGAGAAAAGAATAAAAAAGAAAGATCTTTTACTTCTTTGTAGAAAGGCTCTTTTCAATAAGAACAGAGAAGAACTGCACTTAATTTGGAAATTCGTCTTCAGAGAAACAGATAAAACTTAGCAATAGTATAAAGGAATGAAAGATAAGTAAGATTTTTTCCGATTCAAAAATATTGAGAAATTATTTATAGGCTTTGAGAAAAGAAAAAAAAAATCAGAACTATAATCTAGAAGCAGTGAAGAGGTTGTTCTATTTTTCTTCTCCAAGAGAATGTAGACTAGTAAAAGCAATAGGAATCCCAATGTTTATATATAAAAATGATGAATGAGTAATATGGGCTTGTATGCTTAATTATATACGGCTTTGTACTATGAAAAAAACATATTTCACATTTAACAATGAAGTTCTAGAAACTGACCAAATTTTAATATCAGTGAGGAGTTTTTATTTAACATCAGGGACAATCTTTTGTACTTACTTACTTGACGTGAAATACTTTCTGCCCCTCCTCAACCTGTGTCCCCACGCCCCACCCAATCTATCAATAAGTACTACAGTGCTTGAAACACCACTGCTAGGAAAAGTCCCTTGAGATTTAATACAGCCTTAGAAATTTAGTATGTACCTCTCCCCTCCAATGTACAATGCTAGGAAATTGTGAAGTTACTCACGCTAGCAATGTGATTGTTTCTTCCAATTAGGAGTAGTTCATAAAGGTGGATACCTGGATGAATCAAGGTATAGGAGAAGGGGCAGAAGAGGACATGGAACCTAAGAAAAACTATTTTATAACCTAGGGTACAACCAGTAGCTGTATTATGAAAACATAGGTTAAAGCTTCTGTATGTGTGATTTAGGCATTTCTTTCAAATTAATGCTTAACTGCAACAGGTTAAAGTCATAACAGTTCTAAACAAAGTAAATGACATTTTTCTCAAGACTATCTTTTCTGTAAAGTAAAAGGTAATTTATTTAACAATGAATTCATTTTTAAAATTTGAGTGATTCTATCAATTCTGATAACATCTGATTCGTTTATCCAAATTTGTTAAAATGCATACCTCATATTCTTTTCTGCAAACTCTGGAAATATCATTTTTTGATGATGCCTAAAAGATAACAAATTTCTCAATTAATTTATTACACATGCTCTTCAGTATGAAACCAAAAAGAATACAAACATAAGAATATGTAATTGCTGGCACAGCAGTCTTTACTTCATCAAGGAAAACCTCATGCTCAAATATTATGCAAACAAATCTTATATAATTTTTAAAAACAAGCATGAGCTCCAGATATGCTAGAATTTCACTCTTCTATGGCTTTAATCTCACATAATGACACAGTCCTTTTATTATTTCAGAAACTAGATAAGTTTGAAGGAAATGTAAATCAGAGGACTTTTAAAAAAAATCTAAATTCCATTCTGTAGCAAATTTTCTTGTGAAGCTCTGCTGTAGTGAATTTTCTTATGAAGTTCTGCCAGGGCATTTATAGTTTGCTTTTTCTTTAACCCTTCATATTCTAAGTTCCCGTATTAACCAATATTCTCAGAAAAAATCCATACCTAACAGAGGAGACAACTAAAGAGGGAAAGGCAATGCCAGGCAATTAATTAATAAAAGTTACTTTTATGTAATTTTCTTAACAAGTTTATGAAGAAGAAATTAACCCTTCTACAGATGAGGAAACGGACACACAGAGAAACAACGTTATTTACTAAAGTATATACTTTCCATAAGAAACAAGCCAAAACACATCTGCTGAGGGTTGGCTGTTCTTCCATATGATAACAGTCCCACTTAGAAATACAGTCCCAGAGGCATGGGCTCTGTGCTTTCTTTTTCTATTTCCTCCTCTTCTATTACCTAGGCTTACTCAATTCTTAATAGATCAGCTGACGAGGACAGGGAGAGCGAGAAGCAGAATGGACTGGCAACTATTCTGTGTCCCACGAGATAAACGACAGTTCAAATCCTCTACAACTCAGTTTCACCTCAATGCCTGCGGTAGAACAGCAGATAGTTAGGCTGTGTGTTGCCCAAAGAGTGTGGTTCAGTGGTCTGTATGAAAGTGAAGGTGTCTCATATACTCCTGCTCAAAGACCAGTCCCTAGACGAAAATAAGACAAGGCTTCGCAGCTGCAGTTTCAGGGCCACTTGAGTTTCCCAGTTAAGAGTGCTCCCACCACTTGGAGTAAGAGGAGCCCGGAGACCAGTTTTACCACAGCACTCGGACGAATCACCATGAGCATATAGTGAGGAAGAGTTCAGGGTCTAACTTGATCCAGACCTGAGATACATTAAGTCAGAGAGAAGTCATGACTCACTGCAGGAGTCATGCTCACCTGAGGAGCAGAGAAGGAATAAAGAACACAGTCACAGTAAATCCATGATGAAAGGCAGAGGGAAGATAAAAGCAAAATAAGCCAACTGTGTCAACTGCTTCCATCCAAGCATGCCTGAAATTTACACCACTATTTGGAGTCCTTTAGCACTGATTAAGCATGACCATAGGCAGAAAGGGTCTCTGTAACCTAATCACCAGGTCCTTTGTCTTTTCCCTCTTCTCCCTGCTCACCTTAAATTCTCTTTAGCTCATTCTCACTCTAAGGCAGACAGAATCTCTAGAAGACATATGGGTTAAGGAAAGCAATGACTTCTTTCACCTCTGTACTGTGAACCAGAGGCAGGACTCCTATTAATAACTTAGTAAGCAAGCAAACAAAATACGGCCTGAGTATTATTGTATCAAAATACCTAGAAGAGCATAAACCCCACAAGGCTGTTTACGATGCTGTTTAACAACTGATCCTCAGGAAACAGACAGGAACATCTCCTGTGAGCCATGACTGATCTTGATAGGTAAACTTTACTGTGGGGCAAAATGACTACACTGATGCAATTTATGCACAGTAGCTATTTCTCCAAGCAAATTACAGTGATACCCAAAGGTGGTAAGCTATAAAAAGAGTTCTAATGCAATTTTAAGATCCCTTTTCGCAATCATAAATGTCAATGAATAACTCCTAGATAAAATTAGGAGATAAAAGTAATTATGATAAAAGAAAAGATTTACTTGTAGGAATGCTGTAAATTCCTTATCTCTTTTGAGAAATGCTTTATGCTGCTTCCATGTAATACACAGATCTGCAAATTCCCATGTACATTAAATTATTTCCATTTGAAAAAAATGTCAGGGATTCAAGGCAATAGGTAACAGTTCTCTACACGAAACTAAGACCTAATATAAAAAACAGAAGCATTCCACTAAAAAAAAAACAAACAAAAGCACACAAGTGGCCCATGGACAGACAAAGCTCTCAAAATATAATCATAAACCATCCCAACTGTTAAAACTGGCTAAGAAAGCCACATATCGTAAGATTCTATATCCCTATATGTTTAAATGGTATTAAAGGGCAGCAGACTCCCATCTAGTCCCACTACCTGGTATAGCTTCCTCTTGATCTCTGCTGCTTGCTACTCAGAACTGTGCATATTCTATACAGAATTTTGAATGGAATCAATGTAGGTCATAAACTGTGAACTTTTATACCATAATGTAGTATACTGCTATTTTCACATATCCAGTACTTTTTGTGTGTTAGTCACTTAGTTATGTCTGACTCTTTGCAATTCCATGGATTGAAGTCCTCCAGGCTCCTCTGTCCATGGAATTTTCCAGGCATGGATACTGGAGTGGGTTGCCATTCCCTTTTCCAGGGATCTTCCCAATCCAGAGATCGACCCTGGGTCTCCCATATTGCAGATTCTTTACCGACTGAGCCACAAAAGGAGCTCTTACCTCTCAGAAAACATTAAATTATTCAACAAGCAACTACATTCACCGAACCCTTATTATATACAAAGTCCTTTATCAGGTATTTTGTGGGCTAATAGATAAAAATATATGATTTATCTCTTTATGGAGATTACAGTTTGATAGGAACAGTGCACACACACATATAATTACAGACACTAGGTAGAGGGATAATTAGGAGAACAAGCAAGGATGAGAGCAATTCCAGGAGGGAAATAGTTCAATTTGTTTGAAATGAAAACTTTCAACAGTATGAAAACCTTTAGAATTCAGAGAAATGTAAGCTATACTCCCTTTTTTCAAGGCACTGGGTTTACCCAGGACTGGAAAACGAGCTCTAAGTCTAGGAGACTGGGAACGCCAGACAGGGAGTTTGGGCTTTACCCCCGATTTAAGCGGGCAGCCCCTGAGGGAGTTTTTTTGAAGAGGGCGGGAAGGACAGCTATGGTCTGTTGAAACACGAGTTATGAGGTCGCTGCAATAATCTACCCCAAGAGTGTAATAATAAAGGCTTGAACTAGGAATAGCAAGGATGGATGCAAGATTTTACAAGGGGGTAAATGAAGCTAAAAAGAAAAAACATTCAGAGATAATGACTTGAAGGTTTCCAGTCTAGTGTCATGCGTAACAAAAAGCAATTATAAGATGAGTTTGGTTTTGAGTCATGCTACTTGGATGCAGAGATCCAAGTAGAGAAGACTAGAAGTCATGAATAATAACTTGGATTTGAAAATTATCTTCTCAGAGCTGATTAGATAACAGTTCTGGGAAGGAATGTGGTTACCACGGTGAGTGTGGAGAAAGAAGGGAAGAGGACCACACATAGGAATAGACACGGTAGTTACAGGGGTGATGGTGTATGTGTGTGTGTAGGGGGGCGGGGTGGGGATAAGACAGGACAAAGTCACAAGGCCAGGGTGAAGTCACAAGGAAGTAGTGGTCAATGTATCAACTGTCACATGGAAGTCAAAAAGAACAAGTACTGAGGAACAGCTGTAAGATCGAGGAACCAAGAGATCTTGGTGATCTTTCAAAGCCCAGTTTCAACAAAACAGTTGAAGCGGAAACAAGAGTACCATAAATGACTGAGTAAATGAGAATAAATTATACATTTGAAAATTTGGATGCCTCCAGGAGGGACAGGATAGAAATCCAAGGGTATATATTAGGTTACAGGACTATGACACAGATTTTACAATCACAAAATAAGTTTTAATGTTACACAATTACTTACCTGGCAAAGATGAATTCATACAACTCCAAATGTCAACCTAAAATTGTAATCACCAAAAGACTTTTATGTAGAAAACCAGTTTCAAAATACAATTTATACAGAAATTACATATAGCTAATTTGATTATGTCTGTCTCTATACAATCAATGATCTAGAAGCATCAACCAGCTAGCTATTTGGGGAAGAAAAAACAGAAATGAGATGTAAAAATACTGCTTGCTGTTTTCTCAACTTCCCATCTGGGATACTAAAGACAAGTATGGTTACTCAGGATGTTTACTGGAATAACTGTTTCCAAGCACAGAGATAAAAGTGCCTGTTGAGTGACTAAAGTAAAATATGTCAGTCAGAACTGTTTGATCATAAACTTTCCCATTTAACCCAACCTACCTTATCTAAACAGGCTTTCTCATGCCAGTTCAGACTTTCTTAGCTTAGCCATGAGCATCCCAAACAAGGGATGATCCATGCATTAGAGACATTTTAAGTTACGTGATTCAGACAGGCATGCAATGTTATCTATAGTACACCAGAAAATGAGAAGACAGAAGTAATGAGAAATTACACATTTTCCCTTACCCTAAATCTGACTTTTTAAAAATTAAAATAAATATAAGATTTAGCTATGGTTTTCATAAAATTGTCAAAATATAATAAGTAAAATTCTCAATTTCAGATAAACTATTATTATGAAATTTAAAGACTAGAACATATTTTTATATAATACTGTTTTTATACCTACATCATAAACAACAAAAGATGAAAGACAATATTCCATCTAGCAATTTGTATGAAGATCTTTTTAAAGTATCCAGTTAAATCTAACATTTTACTTTGACCACAAACCCTAATCACTCTGAAAAATTTGCTAAATCAAAAGTAACTCAATAGAGTGCTTCATTAGACAAAAACTTCCATAGTTAAGTTAAACAATACCTACCATTGTTTCAGGGCAATAATCTGGGGCTCGCTGCAACAGATGTTTTAGTCGTGATTCACTTTTTGAGGAAAATATCTACTTGACAAAAACAAAAAAAAGTTTTAAGGCATTTTTTCAATAAGAAAATGGAAGAGGTAAATTTTTTTATCCTCTAGGTTTATCAGTTGTCTAGAATATTTTCCAATTTCCCTTCATAAATGTGCTTTATTATAAAACATCAGTCCTGACTTCTTATATAAATTCAAATTCTATAAGTTTTAATTTCAAATCTCCAACTGCCTTCACACAGTGGTTTTCACTGATAATTCAGCAACTTACCCCACTAACTTCCTAACTTCCTACAGCCATCAAGTGCATTAGTATTCACTCCAAATCAAAACCTAACTATCAGTAGAATACCCTCTCCTCATTCCTCACTGGTTGAAGAATTAAAGATTCCTTATTCCTGGCAGTTCTTCTCACTGTCAGTGAGCTCTGCTGGTTTCGGCATCCTAGCCTCTCACTCCTCTGGTGATTGGGATGACTGACTTACCTGATTGGTGAGTTTGACCAGGGAAAGTGAATCCTATTCTTACCTCTCTTCCTCTGCAAGTAAGTCTATCTGGAGTTTAGTGCATACCTGGAGATAAATGCTATCTACATTCAGCATTTGTGTAACTAGAAATAAAGTAATTTGGTCAGGGAAGAACTTGGTCAGGGAAGAATTTTTTTTATTAGGATGACTATAGTATTCACTTACTTTGCTACATTATAGAATTTTAAACACTTTAGATTTTAAGAAATTAGTCCTTGCCTGTTGTGAGTACCTCATAATTTACCCTATGGAACATTAGTGGAAAAAACAAGAGGAAACAAGGCAAAAAGTCAGAAAAGGAGTGCTTCCAAAAGTAGGAGAGTTACTTTAAAAGCTCTCTTATGGTGACACTATCAAGAGGCCATTTTTGCTTTTAAAAAGCTATTGCTCTGGCAGTAAATTTGTAGAAAACTTAATCTACTATAGTGTTTTGACATGAATTCTCTAGCAGCTATTTAGGTAAGACATCTTGTTATACTTAGAGTATCTTGAAAAACCTTTTTAATCCCTGTTAGGTAGTGCTCTCATTTTTAGGAAGTAACAAAATCCAGGTTATTACTTGAAAACTCCTCAAAATATGATTGAGGTCATTAATTCTCAACTGGTAAGGCTACAACTACACAATCAAGATGATGAAAGAAAAGTAAGACATTGTGAACAGCTATTGTCTCAGTGGAATTTGCCTTAAAAAGGTTCAAGCAGAACTACAGAAAAGTTTCAAAGTTAGGAAATCAGTCCTGAATATTCATTGGAAGGACTGATGCTTAAACTCTGAATACTTTGACCACCTGATGCAAAGAACTGACTCATCTAAAAGATCCTGATGCTCGGAAAGACTGATGGCAGGAGGAAAATAGGACAACAGAGGATGAGATGGTTGGATGGCATCACCGACTCAGTGGACATGAGTTTGAGTAAACTCTGGGAGTTGGTGATGGACAGGGAGGCCTGGTGTGCTGAAGTCCATGGGGTCGCAAAGAGTCGGACATGACTGAGCGACTGAACTGAACTGAGTACAATGAGCACCCACATTATCCTTCATCTAAATTCACCCATTATTAACATTTGCTTTAACTTTCTCTCTACATATGCACGTTATTTTTATTACTTGATGAAATGTTAAGAATTCATTATAGACATGATCATTCATTTCTAAATTCCAGCATGTATCTTCTAAGAATAAGGACACCATTCTAACTAACCACAATACAATCATCAGATTCAGTTCGCAGCACTGGTAGGTATAATATTATTATAGCTCATATTTAAATGTCACAATAATTTATCTCAATCACATGCTCTATAGCAGTCTTTTTTTTTTTTTTTAATTCCAAGACCCAACACAAAATTATGCACTGCATTTAGTTGTCATGTCTCTTTAGTTTCCTTTAATCTGGAAGTTTCTTGTATGTTCTTTGAGGCCTCAGAAACTGCAGCCTGCCAGGCTCCTCTGTCCACGGGATTTTCCAGGCAAGAATACTGGAGCGCACTGCCTTTTCCTACTCCAGGGGATCTTCCCAACCCAGGAATCAAACCCATCTCTCTTGTGTCTCCTGTATTAGCAGGCAGGTTCTTTACCACTAGCACCACCTAGGAATTCCTGGGATGTTTCCTGACCTTTGTTTTTATAACACTGATATCTCTAAAGGGTACAGGCGGTTGTTTTGAGGAATATCCCTCAATCTGGGTTTGCCATATTGTTTCCTCAGGATGCAGGTTATGTATTTTGGGTAGGAATCCCACTTCAGATACTGTGCTCCACTATGTTCGCAGACTCATGTTAACTTGTTCCATTACTGCTGATGTGAACTGACCATTTAAGTGCTGTCCAACAGATTTCTCTAAAACAATTACACTAAATAATATCCTCTATAATTATTAAGCAAGCTTACCTGTTCACAAACATCACGGCACATCTGGTTATCCTTTGAATGATTACAACACAGTGCACCTAGGGAGAAAAAATAAACACCTAATATTGCCTACTGTTAAAACAACGATTAAGCTAAGTCAGATGGTTACACAAACCACTTATTTGACAGATTATTACTATTATTATCCATTTTAACTCAACAAACCTTTGTTGTGTACCTATTTCAAGTCGAAGATGGTGCTATTTGACGACATGGTTTTTGCCTTTAAGAAGCGTGCAACCTAACAGGGGAGACTGTCATCTAATAATAATCGCTACTATGTACTGTGTGCTTTTCATGTGCCATAATTTTACTACTTGCTTTATGATTATCTCATTCAACCCTCAACAATTATCCTATGGACTATATTCTATTATTATACCTATAAAGGAAGGTTAAATGATAAAAAGATAGTGAATTTTGTTTTGGACATGTTAAATGTAAGTTTCCATTATCTCAGTGAAATAAGTACAGATTAGGTTTGAAAACAAAAAGAGTTGAGGGCTTGAGGTGAGGTTGTATATGTCTCTGAATAGCCACTGTGGAGAACAAAGGAAGCAACTATAAGTGTTTCTCAAATGTTTTTCTATGAAACACTGTTTCATGATGTGTTAATATCTATTCCTCAAGAGAAAATATTTCATGTTCAAATAAATTAGGAAACAAAAGATTAAAAAGTTAAAGAGAATTTTTAAAAAATTATTTTATTTTATGTTTCTCCTCTGGAGAAGGGAATGGTAACTCACTCCAGTATTCTTGTCTGGAGAATCCCACGGACAGAGGAGCCTGGCAGGGCTACAGTCTATGGGGTCCCAAAGAGTCAGAGAGGACTGAGCGACTACACTTTAATACCATTTTTAATTTATTTTTTTAACACCAAAAACATTTTGCATTGGGGTATAGCTGATCTTAAATTCTTAAGATTTTGAGAAATTTCTTTCTCAAATCTGAGAAAATTCTTAAAGACATGGGAATACCTGACCTGACTCCTGAGAAATCTGTATGCAGGTCAAGAAGCAACAGGTAGAACTGGACATGGAACAACAAACTGGTTCCAAATCGGGAAAGGAGTACGTCAAGACTGTATATTGTCACCCTGCTTATTTAACTTATATGCAGAGTACATCATGCAAAGTGCTGGGCTGGATGAAGCACAAGCTGGAATCAAGATTGCTGGGAGAAGTATCAATAACCTCAAATGTGCAGATGATGCCAACCTTATGGAAGAAAGGGAAGAGGAACTAAAGAGCTTTTTGATGAAAGTGAAAGAGGAGAGTGAAAAAGTTGGCTTAAAACTCAACATTAGAAAACTAAGATCATGGCATCTGGTCCCATCACTTCACGGCAAATAATTGGAGAAATAGTGGAAATAGTGACAGACTTTATTTTCATGGGCTCCAAAATGACTGCAGATGGTGGTTGCAACCATGAAATTGAAAGACATTTGCTGCTTGAAAGAAAAGTCATGACGACCCTAGACAGCTTATTAAAAAGCAGAGATATTGCTTTGCCGACAGGTCGGTCTAGTCAAACCTATGTTTTTTACAGTGGTCATGTATGGATATGAAAGTTTGACCATAAAGAAAGCTGAGCACCAAAGAATTGATCTTTTGAACTGTGGTGTTGGAGAAGACTCTTGAGAGTCCCTTGGACTGCAAGAAGATCAAACCTGTCAGTCCTAAAGGGAATCAGTTCTGAATATTCATTGGAAGGACTGATGCTAAAGCTGAAGTGCCAATACTTGGAGCACGTGATTCAAAGAAAGGACTCCTTAGAAAAGCTCCTGATGCTGGGAAAGATTGAAGGTGGGAGGAGAAGGGGATGACAGAGGATGAGCTCGTTGGCTGATATCACCGAGCAATTTCTGGGAGTTGGTGATGTACAGGGAAGCCTGGGGTGCTTCCGGCCATAGGATCACAAAGAGCTGGCTATGCCTGAGTGATTGAAATGAGTGACTGACCAACTGGTAAGCTCTCTAATACAATATGAAACTCTAAAATCATGAAAATGAATTAGTAAACATCTAACCTTTAAGAGTCTTTTATATTATGCAGGATATGCAACACATATGAACTTAATTATATCTTTTTTTTCCCCTAAAGTAACCCTAAAGTAACTTTATTAGATTTAATATGAAAGCCAACTGTGAATTGAAAGTGCACTATAAGCAAAATTTTTGCTTATTCTGATAGCAATTTTGAATTTTATTTGCATCTATATTGAAATACATTGTATTTAAATCTATAACAATCACTTGTTTGATTACCTGCATTTCTGCTGGGTTCTCTGGAGGTCTGTTAAAGCCCTGTTGACCATTGTGGTATTTATCATGAGCTTCTCTGGGCAGGAAGTAGAAACTTGGATCAACTTCACTGAAAAGGAAATTTGTTAGTCACAATACCAGAAATTTCAGGAAAATTTCATGAATATTTCTCTTTGTTCACTTCTTAGTTATACTTGTCTCTGCTTTCCTTTAATCTCAGCATCCTTATCATCTACTGATGTTGAGCTCCTTCTAGTCAGTTAATAAAAACTGAAGCTCCCCAGGAGGATATTTTCCTAGCATCATTGACCCTAATGGAACGAAGAAGGTCTGCTTATTCTCATAACTTGTTCATTCAATTGCCTGACATTCGTTTAACCAGTATTTATTNGTGAAACAGATCACCAGCCCAGGTTGGATGCATGAGACAAGTGCTCGGGGCTGGTGCACTGGGAAGACCCAGAGGGATGGGATGGAGAGGGAGGCGGGAGGGGGGATCAGGAAGGGGAACACATGTAAATCCATGGCTGATTCATGTCAATGTATGGCAAAACCCACTACAATACTGTAAGGTAATTAGCCTTCAACTAATAAAAATAAATGGGGAAAAAAAAAAATTCTGAAAAAGTGAAAGTGAAGTCGCTCAGTCGTATCTGACTCTTCTCAACCCTATGGACTATAGCCCATCAGGCTCCTCCATCCATGGGATTTTCCAGGCAAGAATACTGGAGTGAGTTGCCATTTTCAGCATATAGAAATTCCCTTAAGTTTCAGAAATTAAAAAAATTCCTTGTTTATAGGCTGTAGCTACCTTCTTAGAAGCATTGAATTCAAGGATGGGCCCAATCACTAATAAGACTTTCTCACAACACCCCTCTCTTCTCTGCCGTGCCACACCAAGGTGAATCCCCTCTCCTAAGATCCTGTTATGTCCTCAGCCTCATTAGAATGAAGACAGGCAAGAATTGAAAGCTGGGGGCGGGGGATCTTCTGTGTGATATCGATGGGATCATTTGAAGTGCTCAAGTTGTCGCCACTTTCTACTATCTTCCAACACAAAGGTCACATGAGAGCAGAAAATCCAGCTGAAGGAGAGCAAAGATAACTCAGGATAATACATGATTCCCATAAGCACAGGCTTAGCAAAAAGTAAACAGGCAGGCAAGAGTCTGACTTGGGCCTAGGAATTTTTGGAAAAAAAGTTTCTTGGAGCAAAGGTCCATTTAGAGCAGAAATATGAAATATGTCACAATTAAAACTCCAATAACAATGAAAGATTTGTTCAAAATATAAAGGTTTATTTTTTCCTATTTAATGGTGAAGGTCAAATTTATAGTGGGCTGACCCCCAAAGTTAAATTTTTTAAATGATTCACTTTTTCATTAAGAAATCTCAAAATCTGGAAAAGAAGAAAAATGATCTAATATTCCCACTGTCCTGTCAGAACGTGTATTTACATATTTCTTTCTAGTCTTTCCAAAAGCAGCCTGAAATTTCTGACAGAATGGGATTAGAGAGCAGCCTGAAGTCTTCTCGTAGTAATGCCCTTCCCCCTCCTAACCAAGCATTCCTCTGTAATAATACATTTCCTCTCTTCAGAGGAACTGCCCCCCTCCTAGAACAGGCTAGGGGACCTATACTACATCACGTTTTCCACATTTTATTTTTAACCTTAGTCATCAGTATATTTGTACACATTTTTTCCTTCTTTGAAACAGTAAAAACTTACTAGACTCTTATTAAACACTGCATATTTTTAGAGAAATGTCTATAAACAGACATTATTAACTCATATGCTTTCATTAAGAATGAGGGCAAAGGATTCAAATGCAATTAATGTGGCAATTAAAGGTCTTTGTCTTTTCAGAGCTTTTAAAATGGATTAACTGGGTCATTCAACTATTAGAATACAAAAAACTCTCAAAGGCCTAATTTTTATACAAAAAAAGACAGTGAATTCTAGAAATGCTTTGTTTTTATAATTTGATTCTAACCTAATTTCTGGTTCTTCAAGAATAGTTTAAAACTCTGGTTATTTAAAAAAAAAAATGGAATTGAACAGATAAAGGTAAATTAGTTCAAAATAACACTTGATATTGACAGGATGAAAATAAATAGCACAGATATCCTTATTAAAGACATAAGGATGAGTGTCATATTTTGCATTCTTATTTCAAAACTCTGAAAATATAAAATTAATACAAACCCAAAAGTGATTACTAAAAGCCACGTATTTGGGGTTTAAGAGGGTATTAGTGTAACCTAGAAATATTCTAGCAGAATTACCCAGAATTAATTAGAAACATCAAGGGTTGGCTGCTGATTTGGGCCACGCGCCTACTAAAGACAGGCAAGTAAGCGGGAAGCACATGCTCCAGCCACAAGGGAAAAATGCAACTTCTGAGACCAACTAGCATTTAAAAAAAACAATTACACACCCTAATCTAAAACTAAAATATTCATAGAATTATAGGATATTTGAAGTTAAAAGAGATTTTGCTACAGAAGCCTCCCAAAACCTCAATTTGGTTAATGAAAAGCCAGTACTGTTTTCTTTTCTAAAGAAAATAAAGATTCCTTCTAATTAATGTATTTTTAGAGAATTACTAAAACAGAATTATATATATCCTGCACTACTGAAAGGGAATGAACTAAATCTGAGCTGATACTGCAAAAAGGTCATTCCAAATAAAAAAGTATGTTAATTTAAAAAATCTTATCTTATTTTAAAATCTTTATTTCCAAAACAGTCTGGAAATTGACCATCCCTTAAAA